GGTGGGAAAAAAGGATGGGTGTGCGGCTGTCCAAGACAAACTCTGTTTACCGCTCACCCCCTACCCCACACCCCCGCTCATCTTCACAGACAGCCTGACACAAGCTACTGACAATAAGAATATTGTCTCAAAGGTGTTTGTCTTGTATAAGGACATTTCCTGTAAAGGTTATCAAAAAAAGAAAATATGAATTGCGCGGACTCTCACTGCACCTTAATTGTGTAACATTTCCAAGCTGAGGTGGAACCTGAGCGATATTGTTGTTTTGCAAGTCCAACGTGGAAAGAGCCGTCATCGACAGCAAGCTGTCAACGTCAATAATCTGGATCTAGAAACGTGAATTAACAAGAGTTGAGCCTCTGGTATAACTAACTAGCTTTTGCAGGAGGAAAACATGCGAAATCAAAATAAACTGTTTGAGTCAGATCAGAGTTTGTGCTCCCCTTGACTGTACCTCTAATCTGACGTAACCCTCCAAAATATAAAGACAAATCCGCAATTAAACGGATTGGGAAACCATTCAAACAGCTTGAGAAATCGTGGTGGTTAAAATCTTTATATGCAGTATTTACAAACTTTCAAATTAACTTTACCAGACTATAAAATAATATGAACTAAAAGTTAAAATTAAAATAAAACTGTCGTTAATGATGAATAGCAGTGCACAACTTCATACTTTATTTTTTTTTCATCCAAAAGTGCTTTTCAGAAATATCGACTAACACCTTACTCCAAATTCATCAATCTGAAACTTAGCGGGGATAAATGGAAAAGTCGAACACTTGGGTCAAAAATCAGACTCTAGTGTCTAAAATCTAAAATCGGACACTAGTCTGTAAAATTAAAAAAGGACACTACTTTCCAAAATCTAAAAACAGACACTGGTGTCTTAAACCTAAAATGGGCCAATGATGTCAAAAATCAACTAGTTTCTGGTGTTTACTATTAGATGCCAGCAAGAAAATCCTTTTGAGTCAAGGTTTTAAGATGCAGCATCAAAATTTTTGTTTAGAATAAAAGTAACCTATAATAGCCTTTCACCTGGTTACCACTAGCCAAGATAATCTCCAAGGTTCTTAATGAGTACAGAACAGAGGGCAGGTTTGAGAATCTAGAAAAAATGTAAAAAAATTTATGCAAATTATCAGGTTTCCAAGTTTTATAATAGACTTTGATTCCCCATCTTGTTCCTTGCAATTACTTTTTTAACATTGCATAAATACTGTCTTGTAGCCAGCTTTTGTAGCTTGACTTAAATTTATCCCATCATCTTTGAATTAGAATCCAAAGATCTTGGTTTGGTGGATTAATTCTGTCACCCTTCAACTCCCATCAGTGACCAAGACAGAATTTCTCCTTAAAACATCAATACAACATCAAGCAGACACATGATGGAAACAAAGGAAAAATATAAATTAGGAGATTATTAGTTGATCCAATATCAAATTCTTCCAGCTAACATCATACGAACTGTACGGTAGACATTATGGAGAATCATTATTGAGATCTTGAGAGTGAAAGGATTAAGACATTTACTCAATCAGTTGGTTGATTGGTCAGTCAGTTATTTAGCCAGTCATTTGGCCAATCAGCTTCTCAATCAAACAGAAAGTAAGAAAACAGTCAGTAAGTCAGTCAGTCAATGGCTCCAGTCAGTCACAGAGTGTGTCAATCAGTTAAACAGTCTATCAGTCTCTTGATTAATCTGAAAGTCAATTAGCCAATCAGTTATTGAATGAGTTGGTCAGTCAGTACATCATTCAATTATTATGTTTGTCAGTCAAACAGTCTGTCAGTCAATCAGCAATCAGTTGGTCAGCCAGTCCTGTAGTCATTCCTTCTCTAAGTCTCCCTGTCCTTTTTTAGCAAGAAAAGGAGTCATTAAATTAGCCCATAAAGCTGTCAAACAACCAATAAGTGACAAGAGTCATCGTGCCAAAAGGACATATGTAACCTGATCAAATTTCAGTGTAATTTAGTATTGTCAACAGAGTTAATAACGTAAATTGGCCACTGTCAAAGAGTTTTAAAGCTGACGTTTCAAACATTAGCCCTTTGCCATCCGCTCTGTTATACTCTCCCACCAGCACAGCACCACAGTTTCTTTAGAAACTTACCCCCTTTGATCAAATTTCAGCTGTTCAATTCCAGATTGCACCATGTCAAAATGAAAACTCACTCATAATATGATTTCTGAAAACATATTTTGACTAACCGGTTATTACAGATATTTATTTCCCTAAGACTGCTCAGTCTGTCACAGCTGTCAGGCAGATGACTCAACTGGTTATTGCTGTAAAATAAAATCCAGCTCAACATAAGCAATGCTTCTCACTCAACATATCTGTACATTCTCTTTGAAACCTTCCAGACATTTTAATTACTATTAAATTCTGTAGAGAAAAGTATGTCTAGAAGGTAATTTCATGAGCAGCCATTTGAAAATTGTGAGCATTTTAGATCAGCATGATCACAGTGATGGCCATCATTTTATCTTTGCATCAAGCTGCACAAATTCAAACAGGCTTGAATTTCAGTTAAATGAGTTACAATGAATTAATTTGGAACCAGTGCTCATAGAGTGCTATGTCACTGTAAAATTGTTGTCTAATGTGTGCATGCATACCTCAAATCTAATGAAGAAAGTTTTGTTAAACAGCCAAAATCTGATGGCAGACTGGTTATCTTGTTCACTGATACGTTCAGGTCTGTAAGAGATTTACTTAACAAGAGCAACCTAAGGAAAGAAAGCAAAAAAAAGACAAAAACAGTTAAAATGTCTGTTAAACACACTCACTCACCACAACATTTCAGAATTTATTTGTGGAGATTGATCTTCACGAGAACATGCAAGTTGTAGAGTCTGAGGCTGAGGGCCAGGGAAACTCCCCAAAAACAAATCGTAAAAAAATTGCATTTGGCTGTGGACATCCACATTGAGTGTGTTCTCATCCACTACTTCCAGATAAAATTTAGTGTTGGAGTGTTAGCTTCCAGGTAAAATGAAAATTGGAGTGTTGGATTTTGTGAATGGAGAAAGGAGGGGAGACCAAGAAAAACAACAGCCCTCTGTACAAGGAAAAGAACCACAAACAAACTCAACAAGTGTAAGATGTCAGGGTTATGGCTCTGGGATCAAACCTGGGATCAGCATGTCCCTCCTGGCAGCAGTAAGGACATGCTGTACCATTCTGGCTCCTCAAGACTGAAGCAACACCCTGACAGGTTCACAGGTGGAATGTCACGCAAGCATCCATTTTCATGTGGAATCGGGGATCACCCTCTTCCTTGATCCTATTGCAAAATTTTGTTTCTGATTTGCTTGGGAGCCAACTCCTTATCTAGGGGAAGACTCTGAAAATTCGTCAAGAGTGTAGAGCAAAAAAATTCAGTTTTTCTCCCATGAGGACACAAGCCCCAATCAGTTCTGATTTCCTAGCCACACTGAGCTCTACAAACTGAGTTGCACAGAAATTTTGGGTACTTCAAGCTACAGTTCTTCTACAGTTTATATGAACTGACATCTTCCTTTCACATTTTCCATCTCTCTCACCTCTCTGGTACTTTGTTCAGTACATTCTTGCTGAGGTTTAGAGTGGTCACTTCTGCTGAAGTAGCTGCATCCAAAACTTCATCAGGAATGTTGACTGCCTTCTTGTTGCTGCACAAAGAGAAAAAAATATATTCATGATTTGGTGCCATGTAACTTTCATTTGATCACCACATTTGAGCCCTCTATGATTACAAGACCAGCTAATGACATACTTTGGCCACATCAATATGCCTTTGAACCCAAAATCCTGTAAAATTCTTCTTCACCAATAAACCCCTCTTCTAAAACTCTACACTTCTATAAAACATCTCCCCTATCGAATACCTCCCCCTTTTCAATAAACCCTCTTTCAAAGTTTCAGACATCTAGTAAGCCCCTCTCTCTAAACCCCCCCCCCCCAACAAATACCGTGGTGCCCTTCTAAAATTTCAAGCTTTTAGTAAACTTGCCTCTCTGATGAGCCCCATCACTAATAAACCTCGTCATTACAAATGTGC